CCGGGAGGAGGGTTTAAGTAAACGCCATTACATGTAAGCAGTTTTTTCATAAACTGAAAATACTCCAAACTGTACTGCATTCGGCTATGCATGAATCGTACATTCTGTTTCCGCACACTTCTCTCAATGGCTGATGGCATAATAATCTGATGAGGTCTGGTGGTGACAGCAAGCTCTGATATGTATCTTATCAACACATCATCTTGATCTATTGTGTCCATTTGTTCATAAAAATGTATATAAGCATTCCACCACCTTTTCTGGCGCCCGTATGACATACGCTTCATCATGTGATCAAACACTTCTCCCAGGTACTCTCCACCAAAACATGGGTTTTTTCATTTCCTCATCATCATCCATTTTACATTCTGTTACATCACCATCATCAAATTTATACCAGCGATTTCTCTCACCATCTCCATCATTCCTTTGGATGATGTAAGAATAATAATGCCCCCCACTTGCCTGACCACTATGTACAAGCACACCCACGAGTCTGTATTTTGTGCTTCCTGCTGTTTCACTTTCAGACTGCTCACTCTGTTGTATCAACTGACTCTCTGGGTTTACATTATCTCCTTCCAGCTTTGCGACACCTGCAACTGTGTAAGGTTCCATGTCTAGCTCTCGAGGAAATTCAAAATAATCATTGAACTTGATTGCACATTCTCTTTCCCAGTCATAGTCAAATCGTTTTAGTTGAATAGCAAGAACAGGAGGTAATTTTTTAATCAACAAGCGCTTTACAGTATCAACCTTTTTATTGCATTTTTCACAATGATATGCATTTGCACCTTCTAGTAAATCTCCTTTGACATATTGTTCCAAAGAATCAAGAAGATTTTGGTGATTTCTAATGTCTACGTTTAGAGTTGTAAAAGATTCTTCACATTCGTACCTAAAAACGATAAAAAAAAGAATTTATCCCTTAGTTTTCTAATCATTTATTTAGTTATGGATGTAATAAAAACTACATTTACCATTTTTATAATATGAAACCCATAAGTCATAGAATGTTAGCAATAAAAAAGTTAACCTGATCATTAAGTGAAACGGTATTTTAAAGTTGAATCTGTCTGGGCTCACAGCTTAATCTCTTTGTGGTATACCATGCTGCTTCTAGTGTTATCTGTTTAGATAGTAATTCATGCAGAAGCCAAAGCATGAATTTATTAAATTCTGAAAAGTATCAACTATGAAAAAGCTAAATTTTTAAATGTTCTTCCTTTGCTGTAATGGAAACCTTAGTAAAGCACAAGTTTGAACACACCAATGAGTAGAAGATAAGCAATCTGAGTAGGAGCTACAATCCCAGTTTTGCATATACACATGTGTCTCATCAGAAACCAGAAAAGTGATGAGACACATGCATATATACAAAACAAGGCAAGTAAGGAATACATTATCAACCATTAATTTCCGGTTTCTGATGAGACACATGCATATATGAAAAACAAGGGAAGTAAGGAATACATTATCAACCATTCATTCATTCAATGGATAGACTGAGCGTGCCTTCCATGTGTAAAAGCACTGTGGGATATTCAATGTTTAAGATGGTCCCTCATTTAAGGAATTTTAAACTCAGGAAAAAAGATAGGTACAAAAAGGCATTTATGAATGGTATGAATGGAATATAAAGCAGGTATTAAGTAAATTGGTACTATATAATCAGGGAATAGCCCATAGGGAAAAAAAAAAAAAAAGACGTTAGATCTTAGATTACACTTCAAAAGCAGGATATTCTTCAACATCTATAAAAAAGAAGGTGTTCTAACACTATAGGTCAGCAAAATCTTTCTGTAAAGGGCCGGATAGTACATATCTTAGGTTTTGTGAGGCATATGGTCTCTGCGGCAACTACAGATGCTCTTTGCTTATGAAATGGCTATACCCCAATAAACCCATCATAAGTTAAAAATACTGAAAGCTGAAAATGCATTTAATACATCTAACTTAACAAACATCATAGCTTTAGCCTAGCCTAGCCTACCCTAAATGTGTTCAGAACACTTATATTAGCCTATAGTTGGGCAAAATCTTGCAACACAAAGCTTCATGCAATTATCTCACATAATTCATTGAATACTGTACTGAAGGTAAAAAACAGAATGGTTGTATGGGCACTCAAAGTAGAGTTTTTTTCTTTTTTGTTTTTAACAAGGTGAGGTCTTACTCTGTCACCCAGGCTGGAATGCTGTGGGATGACCATAGTTCACTGTAACTTATAACTCCTGGGCTCAAGCAATCCTCCTGCCTCAGCTTCCCAAGCAGCTATGACTACAGGAGTCCACCATCATGCCCAGCTAGTTAAAAAAATAAGACTAGTTTAGTTGTTGATCAGGTATTAGGGATCTGATTTCAAGATCATAATCTTTTGACACTTCACTTGCCAAAAAAAAACTGATTTCCAAATAATTTAGAAAATTGGGTCGGGCGCAGTGGCTCAAGCCTGTAATCCCAGCACTTTGGGAGGCTGAGGCGGGTGGATCACAAGGTCAAGAGATCAAGACCATCCTGGTCAACATGGTGAAACCCCGTCTCTACTAAAA